AAAAAAATCTATTCATTCCCTAACCCTCCGATAGCAATCACCGCTGCTGCCGGAATATTTAAAATCTAATTGCATGTCAAGTTACCAAAATTATGAACACAAATATGTTATATACAATCTCTCCCTGTCGCTACTTTCAAACCATTCATATTTCCTACGCGACCACAGAATCAGGGCGTACAATCCTGCTAACACATACGCTAGAAACTTACCTCTGCCTCTTTAATCTCAGCATGCTCCTTCTCTGCTTGACGAATATGCTCTTCAAAAACGATTAAGGCGTCTTCTTTATCCATGCCTAGTAGAAAAACAGTATAGTGATTAATTGTCCTAACAACTTGTGAACCCACTTTGCAATGTGGTATCATCCGCGAATTGCGGATTCTCTATGAGCAGCCGTTGAGCTTGAGCCCAAGTGGTTTTGTAAGTGATTTGATCCATGCTTTCTAAAATTTCCGCTAAAGCTTTAATGTTGCGTTTCCTCGTCTCACGATTCAAATCAGCGTCTCTCTTCGTCACATAGGACTGGAAATAAAGTTTAGAAGAAATAGTCTACAAGAACATCATATATATGCAGTCTAGCGAAACTACCTACCAAAGCTTCACGAAATATATCCTGTCGATCATCCTCATGTACTGCTTGCCAAACGGGTTCCTTACTGAATATCTCTCGTGCTCTCATGTACTTCAAACCAGGTTTCATTTTGGGATGATCCTGTAGCCACTTCTCCAAATTTTCCTTTGCTTTCTTTATAGCAAGGCGTTTCTCATCCTAAAGTATAAGATTTTTACACTCATTGAAAAGAAAGTAACTAAGACTTACTCTTTCCTCCTTCTGTCTTTGTACTTTCCAGGCATTGAATAACTGCTTTTTTTCTGACACCTTAAAATAAACCATGCACATCGACTTGCTCAAAACATAAACGCAAAAAATTAAAATCAGTAGGATCTAAAACTCACCTTGGTAAGGATGCGGAAACGCGGGTCGCTTTGAATGTGCTTTACAGCATGCTCCCAGTTGCAAGTAGACGTGATTTTGCCTTGAAATAGGTAAAGTTTTCACTCGCAGAAAAAAAA